TGAGAGAGATAGTAATACATGTTTGCTATATTTGCCCTCATAGTCTAGTTTAGGCCTAACACAACTGGATATGCAACACTTACAACATTTTGAGGTTAGGAAGTCCATCTCCCGCTCAGCATTTACAAAAAACAGAGCACTCAAGGAGAATTTTTGAGAATTTAAAAAATTTAAAGTTCATTCATTACGAAACAAAAATAATTTATTTTTATTGTTTGTATTCTGTTGCTTATCTTGTTTAATAATATACAAATCAGCTTGAAAGTGGATTTACTAGGTCTGATTGAAAATGAGATAGAAAAGGACACAAATATATTATATATGTCCTTCTCTAACTCATGCTTTGCGTTCGCGAAATAGTTGTGCTTAAACGTCTTGAAGGCGTTTTTGACATTTCTTGTTAAATTTTTTTTCTACCAACAGTCATATAAATGTACCCTTAAACTTAACTACACTTTAGGGTACATTTATACGACGGTCGGTAGAAAAAAAATTTACCGAAAAAGTCAAAATCGCGTTCACACATCGCTTTTCCGATGTAATGGAAAAACTGTTTCTAGCATGAATTTAAAAATTTATATTTTATTAAAATGAATTAACACTGTTTTAAGTAAGAAAAATCAAGTTTTTATTAGATGAATATTGTTTTTAATGATTTACAATAGGAAGATGAATTTTCTTGATAAATAACCATGTAAATAAATATTAATTAACTTTTGTTTAGAAAAGTTGTAAGCAACGTCACAGCTGTTGTTGATGCGGAATTTTGTGTGAAAAAAATCCATTATGAACGTTACTCGTCTAAAATAAATGAAACCAAATAAAGATTTATTAGGGATTTAAATTATCAAACAATACATTACAACTGAATATTTTGTTTACAAAAAATTTACTTGCTTTATGTTGAAGTGTTTTCATACATTTATAGGCTATGTACACAATTACATCTACTACTTTTCGAAAAATAACTTATATACTTATGTACTCTCTAAATCTAAATCAGTGAAAATGTCACTGATTTTTGCAGTGAAAGAAAGTTCCACTGTTTTATCAGTGAATATCACTGAGATAAAAGTGAAAGCGACTGATGTAATCAGTGAATTAAAAAGTGACTGAAATACCAGTGAGTTTCACTGTTGAATCAGTGGCTTTGCAAATCTTATATTTGTTTAATAACTGAGTTTAATGTAATGATTGCAAAATTGTTTCATTAAATTTTAATTAAAATTTATTTATTTTTTTATAATTTATTAGCGGCTGGATCGAAGAAATTTGGGCATGTAAATTTTTCTCGGCCTAAATTTGAGTTCCCTGGACACTCAATTCGACTTCTGAATTTAAATATTTTAAATATGGGGCAAAATTCCTCAAGTGTCCTAACTTAAAATCGAAATCTTTCAAATCGGGCTGATTTTTGCACAAACTTTAGTACCCAGTAAAAAAAAAACTAATTCAAATGAATTGAAACGAATTAACATTTTTGGTAGGCTCCAATTCGTATTTGTCACAAAGCGGGATTCACTCAAGCTCTTTGTATATTCAATTGAATTTAATTCAATATGTACCAATTTGTCCAAACGAATTCGCATTCGAAAGAAATGGCCAAGGAATGCATTGAATTCGTGCTAACGAATTGAAAAAAAATTAAAGGCTCAAAACTTGTCCAGTGAATTGGTACGGATAGAAGGTTCGGAAGTTCAATACAGTTTCACGAATTCAAGAAAATTGCATCATGGCTCCAATTCATATTTGTCACAAAGCGGGATTCACGAAAGCTCTTTGTGAATTCTTTTTAATTCATTTAAATTAGTTTTCGTTTACTGGGTACTATGGGAGAGGACATTACCAATGAAATATTAAGAGATTTTATTAAAAATTGTAAAGGGGGGAATAGGGTAAAGTTTTTGGTAAAATGTGAATAGTGGAATTTGTTATAGCTCTGTAGCTGAAATACAGTAGAGTGGACAAAATTTTGAACTTTATGTTTTTAAAAGGTTTTTCCTCATCTTTCAAATAATGCAAAAATTTATTTTTTTAAACAAAATTTGACTTAATTTTTTCAAAATCAAAATTTTTTTTACTTTTTTTCAAAGAACGGCAGTTTTTCCCTCTTTTTTTGCTTTAAAATAAAGCTTTACCCGAAAAGGAAAAAATGCCGATTTTTTGTTTTCGATTTATGAATTAATTAATTAATAAAAATCATTAAGAACTAAGAAATTACTAAAAAATGAAATATTTTTCAACCAAATAAACTTTTCTCAATTATGAGCATATAATCGTAAAGCTTATCAAATTCCGCATCTAACTTTACTAATGATAAATTTCAAAATTGAGAATAAACTAGAAATTTCTAGCCTTAAGTACAGTTTATGAAAAAATAACAACAATTAATTGTTTAAACAATTTAAAAAATTGTTATATTTTTTTCGTACATTAAAAACACTTAAACATTATTTTAATAGGTTTTTGATGATTTCTTTGAGAATTTGTATTATATTCCCGCGTCAAAAGACCCTTGCGCGTGACGTCACATGCAAATCCAGCCCTGCTCGGGATTAACAATGTTTAAATAAGTTAGTTGTCAAAGCCGTGCCATTTTTTTTCTCAACGGAATATTACTCAGCGATAATAAAACAATAAGTACTATTTTTTTCATTTTAAAATTCGATTGAGAACATGGTTTTTTGCTAACTTGTTATAAACAAATAGTTTGTTTATTCAGACCTTCTCATGCAAAACTTATGCATGCAGGTTGCCATAGTAGCGTTCAAGAGTGAGAGAATAATTTCCTATCTCTCTCACTCATAAACGCTACCATGGCAACCTGCATGCATAAGTTTTGCATGAGATCGTGTGACTGTACCCTCAGTGTACCAAGGCAGACATTTGTCAAGGGAATCTTAAGTCCAACGCACAATAGTTTTGCGAAAGTCGTTTGTGAACAAACGCATGAGATAGAAAAGGACACAAATATAGTAAGAATATCTGATTATGAATCACCCCCAAGCGTGAGTGAGACTGAGCGCACATTGAACGTGGCATAAGTATCCTCTTTGCACTCGTGGACTGATTCATAGTTAGGTATTCTTACTGTATATCTCTGTCCTTTTTTAACTCATACGTTGCGTTCACAAAGCAGTTGTGTTTCAGCCTTTATGCTGATTCTACACTCACTGAGTCGCCCCGACTTTCCGGAACGAATTGCATGAGATAGACAAAGACGGAGACTGTCGCTGTCTTTGTCCTTTTCATGCTAGTCGTTCCGAAAAGTCGGGGCGACTCAGTGAGTGTAGAAACAGCATTACTTACGGAAGCTTCTACGCGCCACCATGCGGCACTCACTCGTGTTGTGCGGCACGTAGAGAACAACCGGCCTGTTCGTAAGTTCCATGAAGGTGAGGGTGGAGTCCCATGACAGCGTTTTGCGTTGCGTCGTAATGGGAGAGAAAAAGACGCAAATATACGTTTGCTACATTCTCTCTCATTACAACGCAACGCAAAACGCTGCCATGGGACTGTGGCCTGCGAAAAGAATAACGTGAACGCGAACGTATGACGTCATCCATTTGAATAACATTGTGACGTCATACGTTCGCGTTCCCGTGGATTCTGTTCTCACCTTGATGCGTGCCTCCCTATTACATTAATTGTATTATTAACAATTATTATTATTATTATTATTATATGTATAACAATTATTAAGAATTATAATATATATTGTAATTAAATAATTTAATTTATCTGAAAATTTGATTAAATTTATTAATTAAAGTAATTAATTAATTAATTATTATTTATACAAAACTTTAACACAACTTTCAGCAGTTGTAGCATTACATTTGTGACGTCAGAACAAGCGCGTCGTGTCTGCGTTGCGTGTACGTTGCGTTTGCGTTAGTTTCACGATACCCATTCTGGAACGGTCCTAAAAGAATACATGACAATATTTTATGTTCAATTGTTTATACTGTCTTTGTCAAAATTATATCACTTTTACTGTTCATTAAAGTTTATTATTAAACAAAATAAATAAATAACTAAATACAAACAATAAAAACAAATTATTTGTATTTAGTAATTAATTAAGCTCACTGAACTTTGAATTTTGTAAATTCTCAAAAATTTTCTTTAACATGATCTATTTTTTTGTAAATTCTAAACATATTATCGAGAAAATTTGTTTAACATAAATTCTCTAGAATTTAATAACTCTACTGATAGAGTTCTTTAAAGAGAATTAAAAGAGAGAATTTTTTTTTAAAGAGAATTTTTGAGAATTTACAAAATTTAAAATTTAGTGAGCTTAATTCATTACTAAATACAAAAAATTTGCATTTAGTTATTTATTTTGTTTAATGATAAACTTTTAAGAACAGTAAAAATTGTATTATTTTGACAAAGTAAAAACAACTGAATATAAAATGTTTTCGTTTTGTCATATAGTCTTTAAAGGCCAACGCAGAATGAATACGGTTACGGGAACAGGGCATGAGAAAGAAAAGGACACAGACAGCTTCAGTTATTTTCTTATGCATGCCCTGTTCCCGTATCCGTATTCAATCTGCTTAGGCTTTAAAGCGTAAATAAATGAAAATAAAGGCTGAAAATAATTCTGCACTATAAAGTTTTTAAATTCCATTTAGTAAACACTAACGCACAATAGGTTCAGGCCGCAGTCCCATGGCAGCGTTTTGCGTTGCGTTGTAATGAGAGAGAATGCAGCAAACGTATATTTGCGTCTTTTTTTCTCCCATTACGACGCAACGCAAAACGCTGTCATGGGACTCCACCCTCACGAACAAGATACATAACTTTGAAAAGGACACAAATATATATCTATCTCCTTTATTACTCCGTGATCCAGACGATTGCTTGACCAAAACACCGGAAGTATAGAATCACCTTAAGGCTTTGACATGAGTCCATCCTTATGATTCTATTGGAGACGCACCATTATATACCAAACGCTATTGTGATTAGACCTTTACAGTTGCTACTATAGTATAGTAGTGAAATTCGAAGCGTCCTTCTCTTGGATTATGTGTTTCTCGTTCTTGGATGGCGTCTTTTACTATTTTAGGCTGTGATGAAAAATGTTCTGGCTTTTTATGATTATTGTGTTATCAGAAGGTATTATTATAAATATTTATTTAATAAATAATATGTCAATAAATTTATTTAGATAATTATTTTTTTGATCTATATAAATGTATAAATATTTGAATGCAGTACTTGATTTATTGCAATGCCATGAATCTACATTCATACATCATTGTTTTTATAACCATAATGTGATTATGTCTATGTTTTTCAAAACCATAAATCTAGAAACTCATTTACCTTACCAAATTATTGTGATTGTTTTGTCTTAATTATCATTTCAAAATATTTGTGTGTAATTAATTTTAACCTATACTTGGTCGTTAAAGTAAATAATATTTGATATAGTGCAACAGAAGTAAAGTAATATTACCTTATAGAAATATTATCTTTAAAGTCAGGTTTAATTTTATTAAACGTGGTAATTGTATTTATGTAATAGTGGAAATTCTAAAGCTGTTTTTAATAATTTCTTGCTAAATTGTTGGTCATTAAAAATTTACAGCATATATTTTATTCTAAAGCAGAAATTTAAATACCAGTTATTAATAGTAATATGTTCACTGCCCCCAAATTTTTTAGATTAATTTAGTGCTTAGAATTTTTTTATTCAAATTGAGTAAATAATAAAATATAGATAATAGATATTTATTTAAATGTTTAATTAAGTATTTTAGAAAATAGAGAATTTTCTTTCTTCAAATTTTCGGATTTTTATAAATCTAAATGATTTAAATTGTCACATTTTTTACATGATGATATAATTTTTTTATCTCAATAAAGTATAAGAACTTTACTGCATACATTTTATTTTAAAACAAATGTTCGAAGATTATTTGTTCTTTAACTTGTTATGGCTATTATCTAACTCAGAAATTTATTACAATAAAAGTAAAATCAAAAGCAAATATCTAATGAAAACATAAATTTTCTAAAAAGTAAAATTTAAATATTTCTTTTACAACATTTTAAAAATATCTTATTATTGAAAGCATCCGAAATAATTTTCTAAGTTATTGAATGTTATATTATACGTTATATATTGAAAAAAGAAAGCTTTTATAAAATTCTCAGATGTATAATTTAATTTTCCTTTTGATGTTATTTAAATTCAATCGTATGTTATTATTTATTATGAATTATTCAATGAGTTATTTTTGGTGGGAACGTTGTGTAAATGAGTTAGAATATTTTAAATTTGGGATAATATTACTTTTATTTTGAATGTTTTTTTGATTAAAATTAAATTGATTTTTCATAAAATTAATTAAATGCCTTTTATAATTAAACTGGAGAAAAATAATTTTTATGGAATTATTTGATTTCTTGTGTAATATAAAATAAAATTGCATTTGGATTAGATAATATTTTTTTAATTTTATTGAATTGTATTTTAATTAACAATTTTTGTGTTTCAAATAAAATGCAATCTTATTAACTTAAATTAAAATTTTTTAATACAAATATAAAATTTTTAAAAATTTCTCAATACATGGAAAATATTCAATGTTTTTAAAAGTTCTTGTGCCCGTTTTAACCCTCTGCCTACGCTGACTTATCACCACTCTAGCGTTTTTGAATGTAATTCCCATAGTCCCCATTAGACGACCGAATTGTCCTTTTTAGTCGATAACGGTCACTTCCGTCTACAGAGGGTTAAAAATATTCTCTTTACAATCGAAATTACATGTAAATAATAAGGGTTGGTTATTAATATTTCATTTGTTAAATGAGGCTGCTTTTCTGATTATTTTCATAAATAATAAAATAATTTCACAAGAATTCTATTATTTACAAATTTTTGTATAAATTTCTACTCAATAATTACATTATTTTCATAAATAATTAAACTCATCGCAGAATTTTAATTATTTTTAGTAGAATTTTAATCAAATACCTCGAAAAATATAATTATTTTTAGGGTGTCTAACGGTCATAGAAAAGTCAGGGAATGTCAGAGAATATCATTCAAAGTCAGAGAAATTTCTATAAATATTAAAATTTTTTGTTAATAAAAATTTCTTAATCTAACACAACGTAAAAGATTTTTATTATCATTTGTTTCTATCATTAGATATTATATTATTGTTAAATATGTCAATTACTATATTGTTGTCGCAAGAAAGCAAAAATAAAATTAGTAAACAGCCAGGAAAAAGGCAAGAAAAGTCAGGGAATTTTTTCTTAATCCTTGTTTAGACACCCTGTTTTTAAAAATTTTATTAAAATTTGTCAAAAGAATTTAATTATTTAAAAGTTTGTTGATAAAATTCTTTATAAGAATTAAATTTTAAGAAATATTCAATATAAATTATTTATTTTTTTATTTAAATAATTTAATTCTAGTAGAATTTTCTAATATTATTGATTTAAGGGGTAACACTACCCTAGAGTCTGAAAAAGAGACCTATATTTTTGATGATTTGTTTTGAGAAAATGGAAACTAGAATAGAATTTCTTTTTAGAGGGTTTATTAAATACATATTGAAGTGTAGAAAAAAAATTTTTATTCAAAATTTTGTAACAAAATGGCGGCGATAAATTTCATAGTAAAAATCGACTACTTTTTTACGGCCGGAAAGGTTTCTTGAAAAGTTTAAGTCCTAGGGACTAGTTTCCATTTTCTCAAAACAAATCATCAAAGATATAGGTCTCTTTTTCTGAGTCTAGGGTAGTGTTACTCCTTAAGTGAATTTCAGTTAAAATTTTACATAATAATTGAATATTAAAATCATTAATTATAGCGTGAATTTTTAGAAATAATTGAATTTTGAAAAAGTTTTAAATTGAAATTTTTGAAAATCTGAATTTTTCATATTTTTAACTAACAATTCTGTAGAATTAATTTTTTCAAAAAGTTTAATTGAAATTATTCGAAGTTTTTATTTTCAAATATATGTGACCTGGTCAATGAAAAGGGACCTTACGTGTCAAAAAATCATTTTTTACTTTTTTGTTGATTCGGATAGGGTTTGAAACGCTCTTTAAGATGGTGAAAACCAAAAAATCATAAATTGATAAAAGTTTTTAAAAAAAATTTTTAAAGTCTAAAGAAACGAGAGTAAAAATACGAAAAAACTGATTTTTGTTATTATGCAAATTAAAATAATGAAGACGATAATTTTTTATTATTTAGAAAAGTTAACAGTTTCTTTGACAACTATCAACAGTCAAAATTCAAATTTGATATCATATTCGTAATCAGCGACCTCAAAAACCTTATTACTGTCTTTTTTACAAAAAACGATCACTTTTTAGAGAAGTTGACAGCTGCCAACTGTCAAATTGTCAATTTAACATCATATTCGTAATCAGCGGCCTCGAAAACCCTTACAAACATGTGTCACTTATTTACACTTATTGTTGCTAGTTAGAAAACTTAGATTATTTTTTCTATGTTTGGGGAGTTTGTTATTAATTTATATAAACAATTATTAAAAAAAAATTTCATTACTTGTACTTTTTTTATTTTGATACTGTGATTCACGGTGAAGAAAATAAGCCTAAATTGATTAAAAATATTAATATTTAAAAAAGTTACAAGGGTTTTTCTAAGTTAAACGCACGTAAGGTCCCTTTTCACTGTCCAGGTCACATATATTTAATTGAAGAATTTCCGAATAATCGATGAATTTTCGTAAAATTGAATTCTAAATAAATACATATGAAAATTCTCAAAGAACTTTCTCAAAAATGATTAAAAATGATTGACTTCAAGAAGAATTTTATAGTTAAAAATTCTAGAAAATAATAATTGAATTGAAATGATGAAAATAATTTTGAAGAAGTTACAGTAAAAATATTTTTTATAGTAGAAAATGATAATCTTATTACTCTTATTACTCATCTTCAATTTTATAAAACATAAATTGTTGAATTTCAAAAATATTTGAATTAGAAAATTTTGAAAATCTTAATTCCTATGGAAAAATAATAATGATTAAATATTTTTTTGAAAAAAGAAGTTATTGTTGTTTTCGAATAATTTTACAGTTAAAGAAATTCGTAGGCAAATAAATGTAATAAAACATTTTTTTCAGTATCTAATCATTTTTAAACTAAATCGCAGAATATTCTTTAGGGAAAAAGTCAAATTATTGTCTGGAAATCAGGGAAAAACAAAATTAAATTTTTGTGGCAACTGATTAAAATCGAATCATTTTTAGAAAATGTTATGGAAGCTATATGATAAACAATTTGAATTATATATACAAGTTGTATAAACAAATAAATTTTTATCCCCTTTTTGAGAAAAAAAATTCCCTCTTTCACCTTTTTTGAGGAAAAAAGGTACTGTGATGCCTGAATATAATTTAATTAAATTAAATTTAATTAAATTCAATGTTCAGATTTATCGCGTTTTCTGTTTCATTCAGATTATTGACGCCCCAACATAAAATAATTATGTTTTTCTGTCCTAAGCTTAAATACTCTGAAGAAAAAATTGACACTTGTCACAGTTCTGCTCCAGTACTGAAAAACACTGGTGGAGTACTGGCTGCAGTAGTTGAATCAGTACTAGTATTTAACCGAAATTATACCTACCCAGGCGGAAATTTTTAACTGGCGCGGTACCGCGCCTGTACTAACGACAGTAGAAAAACTGTACCGAAAGTCAGATCCGTCTTTATACCGCGCCAGCAGACATTTTACATCCGAATCGGTACAGACTGCCTGCACTGGCAATGACTCTCCAATTCAACCGGCGCGGACGCTAGACGGTTCGACGATTCGGTATTCGTCCGACTTTTCTGCCTGGGTAATGTTTTTAAAACTGTTTATACATTACTGGTTCTATAAGAAGAAATTGATACTTTCTTAATAAAAGTTATTATTAAATAATATTTAATACGAACTAATTTTAATTAGTGGTTCAATGTTTGCTATAAATCAGAAAAATTTTGCTAAATGGTTTATAAAATGATTGGTTTTATCAATTTATTTGTAAAATTTAAGTGTTCTACACACAGCAAAAAATTAATGACTAATTGAAATTAGTCAAAATAACTAATTTTATTAGGGGAGAGGGCCCCAACATGGATATGGTTCCGATTTAATGCTCTACAGTCCAAACCCAATAAAATATGGTAAATTGTAATATACTGAAAAAAGTATAATATATTTGGTATCTTTTGGTCACAGAAAAAACTTCTTATTTTGAACACAAACATTTTTTTAAGTATTTTTTTAAATAGTTAAAATTTTTTATTTAAAAGATGGCCCTAAGATGGACTCCTTTATAATCTCTAAAAAATCGCACAAAAGTATTAAAAGTTGTGTATGATAATAATCGAAAACAAAAGTAAATAAGAATATAAAAAACAAAGTTTGAAACTATTTACTTTTTAAATTTAATATATCAAGCCTCAGTTACTTTTATCCGCAAGAAAAATTCTGCGTGTATGAAATTTATTTTTATGATTAACATAAGCAAAAAATGAAATCTAATTATTCGCCTCTGCGTTTGTTTAAATTTCAAAAAATCCAAATATTTCAAAATTGAAGTTTTATTGAAATTTCCTAAAATATATATCGAGATTTTAACCTTATTAATAAAATATTCCTGAATATTTAACAAATCCGTTTAAGAGTTTCAGCTCTACATTTGTATAAATCTCAAGAACTCGCTATTTTTCAGTTTTCTTTACTTAAATTCTATAAAAATATCAAAAATGTTGAATAAACTTAAGAGAATTCTTTCTTTTATCAGTCGATATTTTGAGACTATACTTGAGTTATATAGGTTTGAAGGGCTGATTTTATATTAATAATGACTATACGGGCCAACGCAGAACAAATACGGATACAGAAATAGGGCATCAGAACGAAAAAGATGTTCCATTGCATTCTTTTTTCTCGTATCTATATTCACTCTGTTTGCACCGTTTATCAAAATCCATACATTTTGAAACAAACAATTTTTTGGAACTTTTTTTTAGAGTTTTTAGAAGTTTGCTACAAATTTTTCTTAAGTTTGCTACAAAATTATCTACTGCCTTTCGCCACGCAGAAATTTACTTTCGCCACTCTCTTCAGAGGAGTTAAGAAAAGTTCTATTTTCGGCATACTTATCTAACAAGAGAAATACTCCTTTAAAAGCAGGCGTTGAAGAAAATATTTTTCCGACCGCTTGTGTAACGTCAGCGGGGGGAAAAATATTTTTCGACCGTTCTCGATTAAAGATGTCTAAACGCATCTCGATTTCTGACTGCTTGTGTCCTCAATGCCATAATCTCCATCTATCCATTTTGTGCCTCGGGCGCAAAATTGTGTTCCCTTGGTCCCTTAATCTCGCCATCGTCACAATCACATAAATTGCGCTCTTGATAGGAAAATAACAATTATTACACAATGATTTACAATGCTAATAAAAATTTTCTTTTCTTTTGTAGCTTAATCAAAATTAAAAATGTCGTCGTCTAATATTCAAACTTTAGATGAAAGTTATTTCGAAGTTCGTTTTGTAGAAGGAAAAAACAGGTGTTTATTTACCAATAAATTCATAAAGAAAGGAACCATTGTCCTAGAATATCATGGTGACCTAGTTACGAGTAAAGCTGAGATGGATAAGCGAGAAGAACAATACGCGAATAATAATAAAGGTTGTTTTATCCTCGAAATTACACTTAATGGCAAAAAAGCATTCATCGACGCGACAGATGAAACTGAATTTAAGGCTCGCTTAATGAGCCATTCAGACAAACCTAATTTACAGCCATTCAAACAAATTATCGATGGTGCACCACATGTATTTTTTAGAGCAAAATACGATATTGAGCCTAACAATGAATTGGTATGGAACTACGGTGAGAGAAGGAGAGCAGTCCTTGAGTACAATCCATGGTTGAAACCTACGGCAAGATCACAAGGTATATTTTCTTCTTACGCAACAAATTTGTATGGTAATTTTAAGCGAATCCCAGTAAAAAAACCATTCAGAAGAAAAAAGTATTGGTGGTAACTTAAGCTGAATGCGTTTTCGCGTATAAACCGTATTGGAAGGTTGCGGTGAATACATTTTGCTTATCGTGAATACTTTTTTTAAAACTTTCGAATTAAAGATTTCTAAGCAAGGTTGATTTAATATTTATGAGGAACGCAAGTGAGCTGAAGTATAAAAATTCTTATTACGAGAATGAAAATTAGAAATTTTGTGAAAATATGAGAAAATGAAATGTGATAAGCAGATTGTAAATAGTTGATCTATTACAATATGCTAAAGCATATTGTGCTAGCAACGTATAATAAATTAAAAAGGACATGACTATTAAAAACTTACTAAGAAGCGCGGTAAATCTAAAAGTGGATAAGAAATCCTTGTGAAAGTAAATGTACTTAGTAAGTTTCTATCGGTAACGTCATGTTCTTTTTAATCTATTATACGTTGCTGGCACAGTAAAGCATTTAGTAATAAATAAAAATTTTGCATTCTGTCTGGCTTATTTCATTTTCTCATATTTTCACAAAATTTCGTATTTTCTTCTCGCAATCTGCATTTTTAATACTTTTGGTCACTCACGCTCTTCATAAATATTCTCAACCTTTCTTAGAAATCTTTAATTCAAAAGTTTTAAAAGAAAGTATTCTCGGTGATCAAAATGTATTCATCATAACCCACAAGGTTTTCACGCGAAAACGCATTCCGCTTAAGATACCACCAATACCGACCAATACTCTTGTTTTCTGAATACTTTTTTTACTGGATTATTGTGAAACTCGCTAAGTAGATATTTCATTATTTGGTTAGCTCAATAACTTTAACTATTCTTAAAATAGAGAAAAATAGCAAACCACAGCCCCTCTACAACCAGCATATTAACTAAATTTTAGCTAGTTTGTAAATTTAAACATATAATATATAGATATATATATACAAGTTGAGTAAAATTTAGATGCTGTGTTGGTTATAAATGCCCTGATTCTTGCCATTTTCATACAATGGAGTTGACCAGGAGAGACGATGGAAAACTATTGGGATCTCTTTTATTGTGAGACTCTCTCAATGCTTAGGTTGAGTCCACAATAGGCACTCTTCTTAAAGCGATGCATACCATCTACATCGATTTCTATTGTTCGAACAATGGAAATCGATGTAGAGGGTATGCATCGCTTTAAGAAAAGTGCCTATTGTGGACTCAACCTTACAAAAATTTTCAACAGAGATTTCTGTTGAAAATTTTTGTTACCATTAAGAGTAGGTCGTTTTGTTTAATTTGGCCCAGCTTCCACCAATCAGCGCAGCTTGTTAGCCACGCCCCCAAAAATGATTTTAATTAAATACATTGAAGAATGAGGGTGAGCTGTTGCACATTTTAGGGTGCGACATAGTTTTGTGACATAGTTTTGTGTACAACTGTAAGACTTTCTGTAACATGTAACAGGATAATCATTTGATTGTAACGTAAGGAAGTTGTCATAAAACAGAATTGTTTTTTAATCAAATTGTCAAGTAACAATATTGACATTTACATTATTATTATTTGATCGAATTGTCAGGTAGGTAATAATTTGGTAACATGTCCGTATTTAGTAAAGTGATAATTCAATTAAGTGAATTTGCACAACGTTACCCGAAAATGTACAAAATGAGCCTTCTCTGTTTTCAGTTTACCAATGTTTATTGAGATTACGCAGAAATTATCTGGAGAATTTGATACTAAAAAAGATAAATAAACTCATGACTATGTGAGATATATTAAACACATATTCTTTCTCAAAATATAGTATATACAGAAAAATATTTTTTAGGATATGTAATAAATAATATTCAAACATAATTTTTCTTGTAAAGTTTCTTGTAAAAGTTGTTCAGAATTTGCTTAGATTAGTTTAAAAAGTATAGGTTTAATTTGGACAAGTAGTGAATAACGTGTCGTTAAATTCTACATACCGTCCAAACTAACAATCTTTACCGCACCAAAGATAATAGTGAATTTTTCTTGTATAATTGGTAAGTAAACTTTGCCTTTTTTCATGATGCACAAACTTTTTAAGGTTAGTTTAGCAAGCTTAAATTAAACACTAATTAAATCTTATTAACAGAATCATATAATGCTTAGTTATATTAAGACTATTCTTTCCAAAAATTATTTTACTTTACTGCAATCATTGAGTTAAATCTCTAAAATGTTTTAATTTTTAAATTTATCTTGATTTTTTCCCGTATGCATAAAGATGTATGAAAAATTCCATTTTGGACATACAACTATTTTCATAAAATTTAGAAATTTCAAGTAGTGGTATGTAACCCTTACAGCGCACCCTCGGTGTCTGAAACGTACCCATACTCAACCCAAGAAGTATTTGCACTCTAAGGTCTCGTCTAAATTCGTAAAATTGAAGAGCATGTGGTGCCATTAGGCCGTATATTTTATACTTATCTTTACGTTTCTTTAGCGACATTAGTCACTATGTTCGTTTCTATTTTCTTCAAATTCCAATTTTTTTAATATATTAAGATCAAACAAAGGACCATGGAACATTTTCTCTTCAATATTGATATACTGAGATACCTAAGATAATTTTGCTGAAAGATAATATTCAATTCCAGGTTACAGAACACACTTTAACCCTTTAACGCCCGACTTTTTAGAAAAGTGCAATTTTCGTCATCTTTTGTATTTAGGTTCTCTTGGGGTCGATAATTACGAATATGAAATCAATTTTTCCAAACTCAAAATGGAGGATCCAATATGACGAACGAATTTTTTAAAATTGATCGGGTTCGTTTAAAACTGTCACTGGAGGGTTTTTGGGGTCTCTGATTACGAATGATGCCAGTCTTTTCAAAGTTGTAAATTTTGACATAAACATTCTTTTTTATTATTGCACAGTGGTCCAGAAATTTTTTAAGTCATTAATAAGAGTAGACATTTTTTAAAATCAGTTCTTCCCTCCTGATTGGTTCATGACAGATCGCGCACAATGAAACTCACGTTTCGAGAAAGAAACACTATTTGTGAAAATGCGCACCGTTTTTAAATGGAATGACTAATTTTAAATAGGGGAGACTAGGTGCAGTTGTTACAATTTTGATAAAAACAGTTTTAGTGATTAGAGTTTAACTCCAATATGTTTGGTCATACAATTAAATCAAAGGTATATTATCTAGTTTTAAAAGGCCATAATAGTTTTAAAAGGCCATAATTGATTTAGCTCTATATCTATTATTTAATTAACTAGAAGCATTTGAGTGAAAGCATTTGAAAGTATTTGAGTAAATTGTAACAACTGCACAAAGTGAATGTCGGTTGTTACAATACCAAGAATAATCTATAACATTTCTAAATTGAAGACAAATAATTTTTTATAACAATTTTTATTAATTATTTATAATTTTTGGCACAACGTAATAGTACGTGACAGTTCTATAGAAATGGCAGCGTTAATATTGTTTCGAAGTGAAAAAAACTTAAACAATTTTTTTTTAAATTAATTTTGAAGACGAATTTAGAAAAAACGAGATTTTTCATAAAAAATGAGTGTAAGAGTAACTTTAAAATTCGCACAACTTTAAAACTAGTTTTTATTTACTTATTTTTTATCCTAATTTGGTTAGAAATACGAAATTATTATTATTTTAAAGACCAAAAATTATTGAAAATATCATTTTCAATAATATATTAATAAGTGTAGAGCTTTTTATGCCCGTTTGTACATTTAAATAAATAAATAAATAAATTTTCTTAACTTTTTTATTTCAAGACATGTAAGAATTAAATGATGAAATCAAAAAATTAATCAATATTTTATCTTTCTTTAACGATATAGTAGTTTTTGTGTTTTGAAGTAAGACATAAATGTAGAAACCTAAAAATTAATCGATATTGTACCTTTATTTGACGATATTGGATCCGCCATTTTTTTTTAATTTTGACGTTAGATTTGAATTCAACGACTGTAAATACCCTCATATCAAAAGTTTCATAAAATTTCAGATAATAAAAAAATCATGTCTGCCATATTGGATCCGCCATTTTGAATTTTTAAATTTTGATGTCAGATTTGAATTCAGCAACCCCAAAAACCCTTATGCACTAAGTTTAATAAAATTTCGGGTAACATAAAAAAATCATGTCCGTCATATTGGGTCCACCATTTTGAATTTTTTAATTTCGATGTCGCATTTGAATTCAGCGACCCCAAAAACCCTTGTGTGCTAAGTGTCACAAAATTTTGGGTTAAATAAAAAAAACCATATCCGCCATATTGGATACGCCATTTTGAATTTTTGAATTTTGATGTCAGATTTGAATTCAGCGACCTCAATAACCCCAGAGAAACAAATGTTATAAAAATTTATTCACTTTTTCGACTTTTGGCCATGTTTTCGGCGATCTGGACCACTGTGCATTGTTATAAATAAAAAATTGTTAATTCTTTATAGCAATACAAATTTTTTTCATTAAGTAGAATAAATTTGTGGATGTTGGATGTTTGGAAATCAAAAATATTTTAATTTTTGTCAAAGTTATTAAAGTTTAAAGTGAAAAGTGGTTTTAGTCAAAACCGATGGGTGTTAAAGGGTTAAAGATAGTGGGTGTCAAATACCTATGTGTACGGATTAACTCTCTACATACTCATATGACCGTTATCGTCTAAAAAGTCAATATCAAACCTTGATTGAGAAGTGTGCGCTTTAAGGGTTAAATAAGTGTTACAGAGAAGGTAAAATGAAGCTATAATCTATGCATGTAAGTAGCTTATTTAAAAATCTTAAAAGTTCTTAAGATTGAGTTATTACAAAATAAAATTACTGTACTTTTGTTATGCATTATTGTTATTTGTGTTTACTTCACTAAAGGTGTTGTTATTCTCTACTTGATGGGTATGAAGAGGATGACAATATTATGAATTTAGCCGTAGAGTTATGTTTCTGTCTCTTTTTGTTCTGGTTTTTGAGTGTCTTAAGATATTCAGGGAAAAATCAACCATGATTCTGATTTCACATTTCACACTCATTCATTCTTTATTACATAATATGTTTTTTAACACTTTTCAAAACATTCTTCTCAGGTAATTTTTTGCTTTATCTCCTTAAAGATAAAATCTAATCATATTATCCATAGAATACTTGCATGGAATGTACTATTTATACTTTTATCTTGATAAAAGTGATGCATATGAACATTATGCATTTTTAAATAATTCAAACTATTGAAAAATGTTAATATGAACTTCTATTGATTAAATAAAATCTAGAACATCGAATATGTAGTCAAAAGAATATTTTTTATATGTATCACTTATACGAACATTAGGGTGGTTCTTATTTTGGAAATGTTGAACTACTTTTTCATTAACTACCACAAGTATAAAACTTCTTATAAAAATTTCAGTTTAGGGGAGAATGGGTAGCTCCGGACAGTGGGTAGCCCAAAACACTCTTAACTTTTTACTACTTAAATAAATTACAAATGATATCAAGTCCAATAATTAAGGCACTTTTCCTATATGACGGTTTGAAAAAATCGATTTTTTTTGCATGTTTCAAAAGTACAATATTGTAGAAATATCGTATAAAAGATTTAGACAGATATTTGAAAAACTAACAAAGTTACAGCGCGTAGAATTAAACAGTGCACGGGTGCGAGCTACAGCTACCAAAACTTTAAACACGTTTTTCTCAAAACCACTTTTTTCTAACTGGTGACAGGGATTACTCAAAATCTATTAAACCGATCGGTCTGCAATTTGGAGGCATTATTCTACACATGAGTGGCTATCGTGTGAACCTCGGTCATGATTTTACATAAACATTTTCCTATTTTTTTTAACAACTACTTACGAAAAAAATTGTTTATTGAGGTTCACACGATAACAGTAAGCCTATACTGTGGAAAACTACGTTTGATTTTTTTATTTCAGACAATACTGAAGAAAGTTATCGTTGCGACCGTTCACTTGTGCATTTTCAAAGGAGTCACCTTTGACTCATAAAAATAATTATAAAATGATTTGAAAAATCACTAAAAAAAATTTTTTGTATATTTTTAGACACCAATTATAACATGTAAAATAAGTTATAGAATTATATTTTATTTTCTGTGAAAAAAAATTCCTGAAAAAAGCCTGAAATTTCGGCCGTCACATAGGAAAAGTGCCTTAAAATATAAAATATTTTCACAAATGTCCGGAGCTACCCGACAAATTGTTGAAGGTTAAGATATAAATACTGATACTTTTTATAAAATCAAGTTTTCAAAGAGTTAAATAAGTTATCACAAAAAATGGTTCTGTAGGCAAATCTAGTTCATATATAAGAATTTAATATATTTTGCATGTTGACAATATATTGAATTGCTAGATATAAACTGAAATTTTCCCAAAAAACCTTTATACTCTTGAAATTTAATGTAAAAGCAGTAAAAAATTTAAAGGTGTGCAAAAAGACCGAATCCCGATCGGGTAATTTCGGGCTTTTCAATTTTCGGGTGGGGTCGGGCCGAAATATTTCAGGTACCCGACTGAATTCGGGTTCTCGAAAGTTTCGGGTACTCGACTGTATTCAGGTTCTTGAAAGGTTCAGGTACTCGACAACCTTCGGGTTCTCGAAATTTTTAGGTACCCGACTACATTCGGGGTGTTACGAAAAAACTCTTATTTATGCCGAAAACTTAAAATAAAAACTGTATTTTGGTTCTATTTTCTTCGGGAGTGTTTTTTTCGTAACACCCATCGACATCTCATTTAAACTTTAACCCTTCGATGGCACGGGTTAATATTTATGAAATGGACTGTTCTTGTGCGTTATTCATTTTTTACATTTTAATTAAAATTCTAACTGGTGATCTAAGAAATTCCAATTTTTCTAAAATGAGAACCACCCTAACGAACATCTACATGATCAGGTGCATATTCAATCATTACTTTTTATTGGAAATTTGTAGAAATAATAAACTGAGAATCATAAGAACTCCTTACTTGTGCATGCTAAAATTACTGCCCTGCCACTTAAGTTTGCAATTTTTATTACATTTAGATATAAATAAACATGCTCATTAACGTAGTTTTAAATATTGTTATATTAAAATGTTTTGTTTTAGTTAAGAAGAATGTGCCTGTCCATCTAAACGAATCTTATGTATTATTAGAAAAATTGAATTTACATACATCCCTGAACAAAACAAGTGACAGTTGGATAAATGGTTCTATTAATTCCATAGACAGTAATAAAATATGTAGCCATTCAACACCTCTCAATGGGTCCATAAATTCGACGGATTGTGAACATGTGAATACTAACGGTATGTATTATCTCAAAGCTTCCAGCTTCTTTTATTACTTCAGAGCACCACATGGAGAAACCTTCAAGTAGGGTGATTGTGCGTATTACTACGTATTTCAAAATCAGCCACGTTTAAATAATTATTTGAAGCTTTTAATCTAAATTTTTTTCTACATTTTTTTGTACTGAGTAGTTAATCTTTCTTAGAACTAAAAAAAGTCTTTGGGTCATAAAAATAATTTAATTTGTTTAAAAAAAAGGAATATTTAAAAAAAGTGCACAAGTGTAAATTACTACGAATTTGCTTGAAATACTACGCGTGCATTACTACGCTGTGTCTATTAATACGCGTGAATTATTACGAACGTTCCAAATGCTAAATATTATTACTATAATTGAAATTGTTATTTAATAACCTAGATTTTAGCTTTTAATTTATTTCGAAAGGACAAAATAATATATTTCATTTTTTTATTATTATATAAAACTTTATTTATAATATGAAAACAAAATATTTATTTTTGATTAAATAACAAAATTAAATTGAATAATTAATAAAGGTTATATGTTTAATCATGTTTTTTATTTATTAAACAAAAATTTTAGTTCGATTTCCTTCGTATACTGCATCCTAATCTTTGACATTGTGCTTTTGTGCAGTTTTCACAATATTAAAAACTATAAAATACTTTTATATATTAGCTAAAATCTATTTTCATTGCGTTCACTACAAACATTATAAACAAACACGAACTGTCAACAACTATATTTCAGGTTGTGTTACATGGCGCAGAAATAAACGCAAGCGCGAAAAATCCTGTGTCTAATTTTACGTCTAAAATTAAATAATAAAAACGTTAAAAACATAACATTTTCTTTAAATTTATAAAAACTAATGTTATTGCTTTATTTAGAAATAACTTAACATTAAATATTTGTTCACAAAATACATAAATATATTTATCTTTCTGAAAGCACTCTTAACTCACTAATGCAACTTTTTGTTCTCTCATCTAAACTAGATATTTTGAAAGTTTAATAAAACATTTCAGAATGCATTTTTTTAGAAGTTTTCATTAAAAATAACAATTAATATAAACTAAAGTTTTATTATAGATGTTTTATAGACTATTATCTGTCAAATGAAGTTTTAGTTTAATATTTTTAATGAAATTCGTAGTAAATGGAGCACTGGTAGTAATACGCACAATCACCCTAGTCTGCTCACCCGAAACTTATGCGTCAGCGCCACCACGAAACTTGTTCATCTGCACTCCCAAACTGGGTGATCCACGTACCCAGTTGTCATATTCTAAACTTTTTGGGAAGTTTGTCTATCGAAAACGGTAACGATACGCACCCAGTGGCGGGCGATCAGACTTCCCATGCAGTGAGAAGCGAAATATTTTGACAGTGGGAAGACAGACTTCTCAAAGGTTTCTCCGTGTCGGAAATCCGTGGGGAATCCGAATCCGCCAGAATCTTAAGAAATCGTAAGGATTCGTCTTTTACGATTCCAGTCGAATTCTTATAAATCCATTTAAGTACTGTTCACAAATAAATTCAAGATTTGTAATATAATGATTATTTAAAAATTCTAGCCAATTAACATAAGAACACGAGAGAGTCCTTTGCGAATCCGTCCGAATCTAAAATAATCGTAAGAACTCGTCCTTTACGATTCTAGTCGATTCCTTGCAAGTAAAAATAGCTTTTGAAATATTGTTGAATTCGATTCTGAGTGAACATCCCCTCGGATTATTTATGAATCCGTTTCATTGACAAAATTTTTCTGATTTTCACACGATAGGGGCAAGCTTACTTTTCAAGAAACTAGTAGAGTTTTGTTATATAAATCACATGAATTTGAAATATCGTGTTCGCTAATCACAAATAATGGCAATTTCAGGCGGCAATGACAGCAAGATAATTGTTAATATACAATAAATAAATTTTTTTTGGTATTTTGAAACCTTTTCTTTAATATACAAAAAGTTTAAAGTAAATAAAATAAATTGTGCAATTAAAAAAAATATTTTATAAAAGTGACTGAGATGTGTTACTAACCCTTTATGATAAATAGTAACGGATTTAAATAAACAACTTAAATTTATAAAAATAATTGAACATATATGTATTTAAAAATTTTCTCATCTGGCATCAATCGAACAAATTGTTTTGCGTATAAAATCACTCCACAAAATCTTTTCAGACATTCGCATTTAGTAAATAAAAAAAAGCTTATAATTTTCTGATCAGCTTTAACCTTGGCTATTTTAAAATGAAATTATCGTTCACAAAAAGTATGTGGTAAAATACATTTGCATAAAAACTCTTTACCGCTGGTAATTAATTTCACAATAAATATCTACCATTGAGTAGAAGTCAGGTTTTGTGGAATTAATTCCGATACGTGGTGGGGATCGTTTTTAGGTCCGCGTGGCTTCACTAGCTGGTAGTGATAGAATTCGCCCACACTGGCCAAAATCGTGAGATCCTGAGATTAATTTGAATGTCGCCTCACATTTCCTAGTCAAGGTTTCGCCAACTTCAGCCGATACTTCCAAAAATTGCAACCTCAGCAAACAGATAAAATATAGGCGGCGTCATTTTGAAAATATCACTCGGTGACAATATATATTTGTGCACCAACAGCTTTACAACATTAAATTTTACATTAATCCAAGATTAATGAATAACATTAAAAATTAAATTAACATTAGTCGTCGACAATAATAAATAGATTTTATTAATAATAATTCTTATCGCCGAGAAAAGCAATGACAATATGTCCTTATAACATACATAGATTCTTTACAAATCGAGTCAAAATTAATCAGTCTTACACTGCAGTGTATTTTTCGCGAAAAACTTTAATTTTACTGAAACGAGCTGGAACGATAATACCGGTGAAGATAGACTCTGTTATAAAGTTCCCTTAATCCGCGAATTATCATCATGATCGACCAGAATAAAGGCATTTCGATTTAGAATTTGTTCCATTCTTTAGAGCCCTTCAAATAAATGAAAGAACTTCTGTGTCACTCGCTGAGACACATCGGATAAATGGGGCACCCGCAGAAGTACCAATTAATTAATTGATGCTTTTTGACCTACTACACGTTCATCAAATGCTCACTGCATGTGATCTCTACCCAACTGCAATTAAACCCATGCTGCGACAGCGTTTCACGTAAAATCGGGAAAAGCTAGACTAATCAGCCTTCCAAACTGTCGACGTGAATTGTGATCCATGATTACTGAGAACGCGTTTTGGGATTCCCATTTTAAGAAAATAACGTTTTCAGTTTCGGTAAACAAGCTAATGGGGTAAAGTGCAACACATTTCAAGAAATCATCCTGAACCACAAAGTTGTATGTTACTCCCGCTATAGAGGCAGGCAGAGACTGTTTCGTACGCTGATACGTGTTACAACTTCGGGTATAATCATTAACATCGCGACGCATGTATACAGTAAAAACAAAGTCATAATTTAATCTCAAGAGTTGCCTTCTTTTCAGTTGTAAGTGAAATTAGACCGAATGCGATTAATTTCAACATGGGAAATAAAGTTTAAAAGAATCAAAGCACAAGTCTGTAAATAAGCAGCTTCACTGAGAAAAAATGCTATTGAATCTATAGCACGCATATTCACATACGTTCAAAAGCAGACGTCATTAACTTAATGCAATATGTAGTTCAATTTATAGCATCACTATTGAATCAAAGTAGTCATTTTCTGATTTAAAAGCAGTGCTATAAAATAGACTACATATCAAATCAAGTTACTGACATCTGCTTTTGAACATATGTGAATATGCGTGCTATAAATTCAATAGCATTTTTTTCTCAGTGTATGTCTCAAAATCGTTTTCAAAAAAACTACAGTAGTACCTTTCTTCATAAAATATATATTATAGCAGGAGATTACAATTCCACAACAATAAATACACTTTACACGCGTAACCCAACGAACTTCACTTCCATGACATTAAATATCCAATATTTATTTTTAGATAGGGGAGACTGGGGCGAAAGGTTAAACTGTCAAAACAGTTAAAATTCATTATCTTTCGAACGGAAATAGTTAGAGCTTTGCAATTTTAATTATAGAAGGGTGTTTCACACTAAATAAATGTCCAAAGTTATGTGACATTCTGTTCATTTTTGTGGTGTTCATATTTAAAGTTTGTTTTCACCCTACTTTTAAAAATTTTTTCGTAAAAGAAAATATCAACTTTAAAGTATATTTTTTGAATTTATTCTTATCGCGATTTTTTAGGTCCTTATTTGGGTCCCCTGAAGAGATACCTAAAGGTATTTGCTAAATATCTTTAGTCAGATTTTTTATATTTGTTGTTAAGAAGAGGTTCCCATTGCGGGAGTCAAAAAATTGATTTCTTTTTTATTGTATTTTTTGAAAGCTATATATATGTAGAATATGTGTATAGCGATTTTTTTATCCGAAGAATATGTGTCCTGACGCGGTAAAAGGGACCTTACGTCCACAAAAATTAATTTTGAGTTATTAATACTATTCTATAGATTTTGAGTTGCTCTTTCACATACGAAAATCAAAAATTTATTTTACTTACAAATTTTTTTATTATTAACGATCAAACTTGTTCAATTTGAAGTGTTTTACATACAAGCAGAAAGCAATTCAGAAAATCAGCCCCTCTATTTTTTTATACTACCTTACATGCTATACACATACGATTATTTTGCTTCGTGTAACATGGACAAATATCAATGTGTGGCGACTAGTGGGGCAGAACTTTAACTGAACATCTCCGCCAATCAGAAAGATTCAACTTCTATTACAGTTTCTGTATAATTCACTGTTTTAGCGTAAGACCTTACGTCAGGACACATATATTCGTTTTTATAGTCTTGAACTCACCGGCATCCCGAGCACTGAGTAACAAATGTCAGGCAAATCAAATCGATTTTAAAAATTATGTAAATCTGACTTCAGAATCGTAAAGAGCGACTCTAAATACCTATAGATATTTATCATATACGCAAATTGAACAAAGAATTGCAAAGAATACAATTATTGCACAAAAAATTTTATCAGATTTTATATGCGTTTTTCTCGAAACAAGATTTTTCAAACTGGTGGGCATCGTAGCGTCTAAACTATTCAATTAATCAACTTCGGGTTTGCGGTTAATTTAAGGTAACTAAATTCTTCTGGGGTTATACCTATAATATGATAAAATTGTTAATAATAGAGATTTTTACAAGAGATCAAATATGGAAAAATAATGTGTCCGCCATTTTGTTAACTTTTTAACTATTTTATAGATATAACCTATTCTTTAGGGCGTCATCTTTATAAAAAATTTTGAGTTTTTGTTTTAGACTAAAACTTGCGCAGTGTAGAATGCCCACCGTTTTCTCTATTTAAAAAACATTATTTTCTAGACTACCTCAATAATAATTCTACCATGTTTCTTTTAGACTCAATAAATTCGTCAATTTCTCTAAGAAAGGCAGTAATAAAATTGGAAAGGTTGTCAGTTCCACAAACGGATTTAAATGATACCAGTGCAGCTCACAGTGGTGCAACTGAAATTTTAGACCTGATCGGGGATAGTTGGGTGAATGACTCCATTGGTTCCGCTGGATGCAATGGAAATATTTTCCATTCCACACATCTTAACGGATCCAAGAAATCTTTTTCGACTTATGAGTGCGGTAAGCATGAATGGAATAAAATAAATCTGATTTGTTTATGTTGGTGTCTACTTTTAGTCTATTGTCTATATAAACTGTATCAAATTATCAAAGCAGCTAAAGGCAATTAAAGAACAAATTACTATTATTTTTGAATTACAAATGAAAAATTCAACTTTATTTGCAATTAGTGACATATATTAAATATCATTAAACTCTTTGGTTTGTAGGGGAGAGTGGGACAAACTGGCCATACTAACGGTTTTTCGACTCTTGTGACTAAGTGAACCAACCGATTTAATTTTTCATTTTCTTGTTTGAAAAATCATTCAATTGCGCAACTTTTTCCCAGAGATACCTATACTTTTTCTTTTATTGTTCAGTTGCTGTGTTAACTTTAAAAAATCTTGCAAACTGGACGGTTTACCCCACCCTCTGGGGTAAACCGTCCAGTTGGATTTTTTATATCCATAATATTGTATTTACATAATCTACAATAACAAGAAATTAAAGACTCATGTGAACAATCAATGGTTGTAGTAACATAAATTATAATACAGGATTGAATTTTAATTAAATAAATATTTTCTTTAATAACAAAACAAAAATCTTTGTTATTATCAGGAAAACAATATTAAAGGGTCCAATTCTCATTGGAAGATAATTATTTTTCATTATAAGCAAATATTTTAATAAAAGAAACATAAATTATGCTGAGAAGTGTACCTTCGAAACCTAAGGCAAAATGTTTGTAAATATTACACGATTTCCTCAGAATGTCCTTAAGAATAAATTCGCAAAAGTGTATAACGGAACTAGAAAAAATGTTTTGCTTCCAGCATTTCAAAACACCTAACTCTAAACCAATGAGTATAATGATATCTATTAGATATATTAGATATTTTTCATAAAATTTTCTAGTAAATTCAATTACAATTCAATTACAATTCAATTCGTCAATTCAATTTAAAGAAATAATATTCTACTTTTCATTTCAGTAGTCGTCCAAAAACACTGCAAAAAAATTCAATTTACGATTTACTTTTATATAATTACTCATTTAATTTAAAACTTCTAATGATTTTTGTCTTATTTGATTGCAAATATAATTAAGATACCAATCAAATAGTTCGCCATTAAATTAATTTATATAAACAGAGTTATTTTTCAAAACTTTATTTTTATTAAATAAACTTTAATTTTATTAATTTAGAAAATGAGGAAGCTGATTCAACTCCACCACGAAAATTAAATCCATCAGAAACTTTAATTATCAACAACAACGACGAAAAAATAGAACCGGTTTGTTTTTCCAAGGAGAAAAATCCTTCGCACGGTGGAAGAGCCACTACAGTATCTAAAAGGGAAGAAAACTTTCTATTAAGAATTGATGGTGATAGTCAACAAGAAAATAAATCGAAGGAATTATATACTCACCTATCATAAGACATTAATAATGATTCTTTAATTTATCCTGAGAAGAAATCTTTGAAAGACAGTAGATGCATCGTAGTACCTGAAAATCAAATAAAAGTTGTGATAGAAAATGATGCCGATAGTCAATTAGATCTTGCATTTGTCGAAAATTCTATCCTTTCATCAAATCAGTCTATTATCACCACTGCATCTGTAAAAAAAGAAAAAATTATATTGAGGAAGGATGACGACAGTCTGGTTCATGATAAAATAGCAAAAATAGAGTCTATTTCTCCACACAAAGTAGAACAGGTTAAATTGAGTACTGCAGATTCGGTGGTCGATTCTGTTAAACAATCCTGTTTCGACGAAAGTACAGTTCCTATAGCATCTGAAAAGGGAGAAAAACTTCTAATCAAATTAGATCTCGAGAATCAATCAATTACAAAAGTAAATTCTGCAAATTGTTTCGACAACCAACCCTCTTCACGTGACAGTAAATCCGACGTTGTTTCGCAAAATAATGTATTTATCACCGTACCTGATTATCAATTGCAAGCTTCTAGTAACAATGACACCAGGCAAGATCAACTCGAAATTTTTCCTCATCAGTCAGAACAGGAAACACTTATAAATGAAAATTCTTTATCATATTCTGATGAACAGCCGATTCCACATGATTGCACACCGATTGATTCCACACCCTTCGTCGAGTCTGAAATTGAAATTGAAACATCAGTTATTAATGAAGTCAATAATAATATAATTCTCGAAGTTAATAATTCTGACAAACCTATAAACATTGACAGTTGTGAAATTATATTTGTCGACACAATTTTACCAGGACAACAATTTCAAGAAGAAGATAATACAGTTCAATCTGTTAAGCCAAAAATTATTAATGAAATTATAATTCCACCCAGTGAAAGAATTTCATTAATTTCTGCAAATGACGAGAATAGTGCGTTAAATACGGTTCCGGAGAATGAGAATGCTGATGAAGATCACGATGATTATGAATATGACGAAGATGATGAAGATGATGAAGATGATCTGTGTGATAAGGATTACCTGCCTATGGATGATGACCAATCTGAAGAAGATTCAGACGATGATGAAGATGAAAACCTTAATGAAAAATCCGAATGCACCTTAAACGCAACTCAAGAATCTACGATAAATGTGTCTACTTTTTCTTCCTTGTACGCAGGCCCTGGAAAGTCAGGAATACCGGCTGCTGGTTTGGAAGTACTTTCGTCAAAAGGAAAAACTGGAAAATCAAAAGTACACTTTTGTTACTATTGCCATACAATGCAGCTTTCCATTGCCCGTCATTTGGAAAGACGGCATGCAGATGAACCCCTGGTGAAGGAATTTATGTCTTTAAAAAAGAAAAGCAACGAAAGAAAAAAAAAAATTAGTGTTATCAGAAAAAAAGGAGACTTTTTACACAATACGAGCAATGATCACAATAAAGGTTTTATAATAACTGTTCGAAGATTACAGGTTGGTCGAGAGAAAGCAGCTGAGGAGATAATAAATTGTCCGAAATGTTACGGCTTCTATACAAACAATAATATTCGTCATCATTATGCAATATGTAGTGAATCAAGTTCAGCCAGTACGAGGTCCATATTGCAAAATGCAGCACGCAAGATCGGTCGTGTTCATATTGACGCTAGTTATAAAATGAGGCATCAAATACTTCCTGTTTTAAGAAACAACGACGAAATTACTAACATCATCAGGTACGATAGGCTCATTATACTTTACGGCAATTTTCTTTCAATAAAACATAAAAAAGATCAGCAGGATAACCTGATTCGTGCTCAACTTAGATTGCTTGGTAGGTTGGTTTCCGCATTAAAAGGAATTGATAATAAAATTGAAGATCTAGCTGCAGCATTCCATCCGACATTGTTTAATAAAGTGTTAGAAGCAGTAAATGTTGTCGCACAGTTTAATGAACGGAATCAAAAATATGGATCACCAAGCACAGCTTCTAAATCATTAGAAGCTTGCGAACTACTAAGAAATTATTCAACACTTTGTGGAGCAAAGAGACCTGAAACTCTTAGAGGAACGACACTAAGAAAGCACCTAGCAACAACTTGTTCAGAAAAATATTCGGAAAAGCAAATTTCTCGAGTAGCGCAATTCATGGGACACGATTTGAAAATTCACAAGAATATTTATCAGCAACCAACAGCTGCAACAGATATCATCGAGATGTCAGATGTATTAAAAACTACTCAAAATCCTAACAAAGGTTCGTATTTTACTTACTTATGCCCAACATTTATTTTCACTAGGACTTTTACTTCACTTTACTTTAAACTATCTCTTCACTTTCACTCTTACTGACACTATCACCCCTTCTAGCAAAAATTGATAAAAGACGATTGAAAACAATAGGAAAAAATTTCTATTGTCATCAATCGCGTTCTTGCAATTGAGGCGATTTACTTTTTTAATCGTTCTCAATCGTGTTCAATTAATTGCACACAGAATAAAAGTACGTTAAATTTTTATTGACTTGGTGCTTAACTTTTGGATAGGATATAAAGTGATATAAAAATTTTAACATTTTAAGTAGATAATATTTGGGTGATTTTTTTAAAGTGCTACTTTTAAACATCAATTTATTTTTTTTCAATTGTATAATTTTTCTATTAAAACAGGGCTCGAACTAGGTCTTTAAATACCGTAACAGTCCGTAACTTTGCTTGAAGTCCGTAAAAGTCCGTTTTTTTGAAAAAAGGTCCGTAATTTCCTTAAAAGAGAATAAAAAGTTCGTAAATTGTACGATATAATTTGGATAATTTTAGAGAAATTACAAATGATTACAGAAATTCAATTATTTTCAAAAGTAATAAAATTCTTCGCAGAAATTCAATTATTTTTAAAAATTTTCCTCAATTCAATGATTTTTAATATCTACTGTTTTCATAAAATTTTCCAAAAGAATTGAATTAAAAAAAATTAATAAAATTCTAGACAAACTTTTAATTATTTTCAAAAAATAATAGAAATTTCACAGGAATTTCATTTTTTACAAATTTTTTTATAAATTTCTTCGCAATCATTTAATTATTTATAAAAATAATAACATTCTTTTTAGAAATTTAATTATTTTCATAAATAATGAAACTCATTGCAGAATTTCAATTATTTTTAATACAATTTTAATCGAATTCCTCGAACAAAATTTAAAAATTTCATTAAAATTCATCAAAACAATTCAGTTACACTGAGAAAACGTTATACTATATTTAAATAGAAAAATAATTTTAAGTGATTTTATTTAATTAGAATTAGTTTGTAAGCTTAATTCCAATATATAAAAAATATTTACTGCTTTGATTATTCAAAAATAATATTTGTTTGAATAATTATATTTAATTCAAACATATTTTCTGCTGTGATTTAAACAAAAATTATGTTAAAAAATTTTATGTTTGATTCAAACTTAAAAATTGATTATAAAAAATTTAAAATCACCCACAACTTATGTTTGAATTAAATATATTATTTCTTTAAATGAACCAAAAAATATGTTTGAATTGAACTTAAGTATTTGACTGTAGAGAAAAAGTATTTTAAGTTTAATTTAAAAAAAAATTTTAATCAAATACATCGTTTTCTCAGTGCATTTAAAAATGTATACATAAAATTCTTTATGAAAATTCAATTTTAAGAAACATGCATTTATTCAATAAATTGTTTTTTTTTGTGGTTATATAATTGAATTCTAGTAGAATTTTCTCATAAACATTAATTTAAAAATGGATTTCAGTTAAAATTTTATATTATAATTGAATTTTAAAAGCATTAGAGCGTAAATTTTTAGAAATAATTAAATTTTGAAAAGGTTTCAAATTAGAGTCTGAAAATTTAAATTTTTCATATTTTTAGCTAATAATTCTGTTGAATTAATTTTTTTGAGAAACTTTAATTTCTGATTTTTTTTTAAAATTATTTAAAGTTTTTATTGTTTAATATATATTTAATTGAAGAAGTTACGAATAATTGAAATTTTGTAAAATTGAATTGTAAACAAATGAATTTGAAACTATTAAAGAACTTTTTCAAAATTATTCAAAATAATTGATTTAAAGAAAAGATGCTTAGTTAAAAACACGAAAAAAATTCAATTTTGTAAAAGTTACAAATAAATGCAAAAATTAAATTATTTTCAAGAGTAATAATATTCTTCGCAAAAATTAAATATTGTTGAAAAGTAACAAAATTCTTCTTTGGGAGTCAATTATTTTCACAAATAATAAAAATCATCGTAGAATTTCAATTATTTTTAAAACAATTTAAATCGAATTTCTCGAAAAATGTAATTATTCTTAAAAATCCTATTAAAATTCGTGGAGAGAATTCAATTATTTGAAAATTTGTTAATAACGATTCTTTATGGGAATTGAATTTTAAGAAACATTCAATTATTTATTTTTGTGTTTATAAATAATTGAATTCTATTAGAATTTTCTAATAAAAATTGATTTAAAAATGAATTTCAATTTAAATTTTAGATAATAATTAAATATTGAAAGTAATATAGCGTAAATTATTAAAAATAATTGAATTTTGAAATTAATTTTTTTGAAAAAGTTTAATAGAAATTTTTTTGATATTATTTTAAGTTTTTATTTTTTAATATTTATTTTATTGAAGAATTTACGAATAATTCAAATTTTGTAAAATTGAATATTGTAAACAAATGGAATTGAAAATTGTCAAAGAACAGTTCCGAAAATTATTGAAAATAATCGATTTAAAGAAGAATTTTAGTTAAAAGTTCTTGTAAAAAATAATTGAATCGTAAATAATTTTATCACTCTGTCATCTTTATGGTACTACTACACTTTAGAAGTCTCTTAAAAGACCAAATTTTAAAAAAAATTTCTTAGGTCTTTTATTATAAATATGAAAAAAACTTTTTTGCCTACATTACTACATATATGGAGAATAAAAATAATGGTTTGTTTTTAATTTTTATTTAATATCATAATCTGCAGACACCATCCAGATCGAAACTCCAAAAAGTTAATTGTCCAATTGCGGACAGTTTATCTCAAGATTGACAAATGGGAAACAAAAAATCCAAACTGCTTTTTAAAAAGGAAGGTGTTTCGCATAGAAATCCACCACAGTAATGAAAAATCGACTAAAATAAAAAAAATAGCAGATGTTTCAATAATTTTTTTAAAAATACACTATGTTTTTCAGTATCTTTATAGTCCGCAAAATTTTTTTTTTTAATATTTTGACTATTTTCTGATGAATTCACACACATGACATGCTAACAAACAAAACGACTTATTATTTATTAAAATCGTTTCAGTAGATTTAGAGATAAAGTGTCCGCAATTTGAAAAAACGTTATTTTGAGAAAAAGCGTTTAAACCTTATATGTATCGTTAGAGGCCATTCATAAATTACCTAAAATTTTTTTGCAAATTGAAAGCCCTTCACTTTTTTTATGTCAGGCACTGTTACATACATTAACACTAATATTTTTACTGGTCGTCACAAAAAGCTGGACCCCCACCATCCCCTTAAAGACTAACTTAATTTGTCAATAGCTCTTTATATTTATTGAATAATTTTTGAAAAATTTACTTTTATTTTTCACAATTGGTTATGAATACTTTAGGAGGTGTTTTCTGAAGTCATAAGGAGTTAAAACTTGGGCTGGTTATATTTTTGTCAGTAATTGGTCCGTAAAGTCCATATTTTTAAATACTTTGACTGGTTCGAGCTCTGATTAAAACTACTTTATTTCATACTCAAGAGTAAGATCTTTAAATTACTAAAAATTAATTGTTAAAAATATTAGTTATTCTTCTTTGAAAAAAATTGACTTTGTTGTTCCTTTAGATTAGTTTTATTTAATTCGCGAATTTTTCTATTAAAAAACACACTAATATAGTTTACGTGTAATCCAAAATAAAATTACAATGTTAAAACGCTTCGCGCGAAAGCTCCCTGGTTTCACAGGGTGGAAAGCTGACCGGGATTTTAAAAATTGGAATGGAAATGACCAGGAAAATTTTTTTGAACCGGGAATTTCTTGTGTTCTTTCCATTATTTGTTCTTAAAATTTGTTAAATGTCCTAAAATTATTTTTTTTAATTTTACCAATGTAACTCTAATTTAATTTAAACGTCTTTTTATGACAATCTTTTAGTGTTTTTCTGTAGCTGCTACTACTTAAAAGCGTTTAAAAGTTACAATTAAATTTTCTATTCTTCCGTATATTCAGCAAAATTCTAGGGGGTTAACAGTATATAAAAAATAATATAATTGAAAAGAATTTAATTCAAACGCCTTCATGCTTTTTCATTCTCATTCTTGATCATTTAAAAAATTATGCAATAATTTTGTATTAAAAGAAACTTGTAAATAATTAAATTAATTCTGGTCGTTTATAAGACTAAAGGCAACAATTATTCATTAAAAACTAATAAATTTATGATTATCCTGCTCAGAAACAGGACATCCTAGTATATCCAAAGGTTTATTATCTTGTTTCTATCCCAGGCTATCCCTTTTTTATTCCCCTCAATTTCTTTCTATCTTCCCTTTTTATTCAATCTCTTTTAATAACCCTTACTTTATCGCCTTTTATCCTCTTACTATTCACTTCTTTCCCTTTCTATCCCTATTTAAATCTCAGTCCATTCTTGTCTCCTTTTATTCCTTTGGTTCTATCGGAGCACGAAGAAAAATGCGTTTGCTATTATATGGATAGCTAATTTTTAGCTATTATAGTTAACAATTGCTGTTTTAGCAAAACAAGTTAGCTATTTTAGCTAATCATTAGCTGCATTAGCTAACAATAATTGCTATTCATATAATAGCAATTAAGGTTAGCTAAGGTAGCTAAAAATTAGCTGAAATAGCTAACTATTTTTCTCCGTGAGTCTATCTCTTTTCTATTAAATTTAAAAGAATTCGATTTTTTCTTTTTTCTTAATCTTTTTCAATAACCTTCATTATACCCCATTGAATCTTTTTTCAATCCCCAAAGATAACTTTTTATACCCTTTTCAATGTCACTTCATACTTATCCAGTTTTATATCTCCCTGCTGGAGGTCAAGGGATAGGAATCCTGTCTCCTTGAATATTTGTTTATCTCTGAGATGGAAAGAGTTAAAGTTTATCTCTCTTAATCTATCTTCATTTTTATTACTACTATCGCTTTCTATCTTCTCTTCTTCTCAATCTTCTTGAATAACATTTTTCTTATCTTCTTCAATACTTTTCCTATCTACTTTCTTTCCTTTCTGTCGCTGCTTTAATCTATTTAATCTTTAAACTATAATTAAATAAAAAACTTTAATCCAAGAACACACTGATCCCTGCTTATGACCTTCCTTTATCCCAGGCTTTTCCTTTTTTAATCCTTTCAATCTCTTTTTATCTCATATTTTTTCTCAATCTCTTTTAATAACCCTTATTTCATCCTTCTACTATTTACTTCATTCTCTTTCTATCCTCATTTGAATCTTAGTATTTACTTTTTTCCTTATCTTTGTAAACAACATTTTTATCCCACGTGCACAAAAATGGCGCTTTTAGATAGCTGACGACAGGGAGTAAAGTCACTCATTTGTTTGACCATATGAAAATGGCGTCCATTTTCTCCCATGTGCAAACATAACAGCTAATCCCATGCGTTATTTTTGCCCAAGGGAGAAAACGGCCGCCATTTTCATGCAAGTCGTCTGCTATCTGAAATCGACACTTTTGTGCATTAGGAATAAAAAATATCGTAAGTAACACGGGAATAAAGGCAGCCAATTTGTTTACGATGATTTTTGTGACACCATTGGAGGTCTCGGGGCGCCCTCGACCTCCACTCGTGTTACAAAAATCACCGTAAACAAATGGCTGCCTTTATACCCTTGTTGCTTAATATACTATTGTTTTATACCGATCTATCCTTTTTATCTTTGTACTTCTCTCTTTTTATCCACATTTTAATCTTAGTACACACTCATCACCATTTACACCTTGAGTTTAATCTTAGTCTATCACCTCTCGATTCGATTCAATCTCTTTCCATCACCTACTTTTGCTCAATCTCTTTTAATATTCTTTACTTTATCTCTATTAATTCTTTTACTATTCACTTTCTTCTCTTTTTATCCTAACTTTATATATTCTAATGCCATACTTTTTTCTTTTTATCCCCTCGATTCTATATCCAGTCTATTTCTTTCCAATTCGATTGAAAAAGGCCTTTTCTTCTTTTATCTCAATAATTTTGTTATGACATTTATTATGCACCTTTTAGCCCTTATACTATTCTCTTCTTTTTCTTTCTAATCCCAATTACATATCAGTACATACAATACTTATCACTTTTATTCCTTTTACTCAATTGCAATAGACTGCAGTCTATTTCCTTCCTATACATTGAATTAGCTACATATGTGACGATTTCATGATAAACAAAGAGAAATTAAAACTTTAAAAAGGAGATCAACTGAGAGATAAAGAGTGATAGAGTAAGAGATAAAAAGAGATCAATACAGTCCCAAAATTTAAAAGGTGGTTCAAGAAAAATATCTTCCAAGCTAGCGTGGCTGTGTGACATGTGTATTCGACTTGCGTTCCGAAGGTTCAGGGTTCGAGCCCTCCTGCGTGCGAAATTTTTCAAATTTGGTTTTAAGTGTTATGTGTACAATGTTGGTTAATAATGTGAAATGAAATATAGATTTAAACAATAAATAATAATTTCATAACAAATAAATAAATAACTTGATTTGTTAAAAAATAAAAATAGGTTATAAACAGAAGTACGAAAACTATAAAAATATTTTTATTTAAATAATAAATTCAATTGAAATTGTAATACTTCATAAAGTCTTTAATATTGTTAATAATATTGGTTAATTAATTCTTTATATATTAAAAAGGATAAAAATTTGCAGCAAAGAGAAATAAAAAGAGATAAAAGTACATAGGTATACAAAGAGATCGATAGGGGATATATCATCGGAATATGTTGAGGACATTCTCAGAATATCTTAAGGATATAATAAAAATATCTCTAGAATTCCCTAAGAATATTCCTAGAACGTTCAAAGCCAATTTGAAAAAATATCAACTTTCTTTTACTTATATTTTGAATATATTATAGATATTCAGTGACATTTTTATTAACTTATTCAATTTATAATTGTATCTTAATTTCTAGATTTACTTTATCTAACATGTAAGAAATTATTCTAAATTATTCGATTATTATTATTCCCAAGTTAAAACTTCTTTTTAATATTAAAAATTGAAGCACCAATTAATATCGTATACTTTCTTCTTCATGGTTAATTTGCAAATATTATCAATCCGCAATAATATTATTCCCTTTTTCAGGTCAAAATAAAAAAAGAAGCATCGGAACTTCTGACAGCGACTCGGACGTTTCAATCCAATTGAAACATAAGAAAAAAATTGTACGATTTTCAAACAGTCACGAAGATCCTAAAAACTCAAAACTGCAAAAAAAAATGGAAGGTATGATTTAAAAAGAAAAAAAAAGTATTCAGAATAGAGAAAAAGAATTGGTGGAGACGTTCGGTGAATGCGTTTTCGCGACAAAACCGTATTGGTGGGTTACGGTGAATACATTTTGCTTACCGTGAATACATTTTTTTTAAACTTTCGATTTAAAGATTCCTAAGTAAAGCTGAGAATATTTATAAAGAGCGTAAGTGACCTGAAGTATAAAAATGACGATTGCGAGAAGGAAATAAGAAATTTTGAGAAAAAGCGAAAAATTAAATGTGGCAAACCTTCAACGTATGATGATGAAAAGGAACATTGACGATACCGACAGAAACTTGAGAAATCCAAGTAAATGTATGTGAAACAGTAAATTCCGCCGGTAACGTAAAAGTTCCTTTTAATCATCATACAACAAACATTAATCATTCACATTTATAGTTGATCCTTTTTTGTATTTTCTTTTAAAAAATTGCAAACATAACCTATAATTTTATGCTATTAAGGTCCCTTTCTTTAGATCGCGTCACATTTCATTTTCGTGCCAACAAGATACTAAATTCACACACTGTATTTAACTTTATTAAAGGGTTGATAAAGTTAACAATCTATCCAAATCATTTTTCACTTAAAGCTTCTTTAAATTTCATGTATCGACAGCACAGCCGTCCTAACACAGAAATGGGCTTTTTCAGAAAAATATTTTCAAAATTAATTAAAAGTTTCAAAATTATTAAAGAACTCAGAAAAAATCCGTAGCATGGTGGGATACGAGCCAACGACCTTTCTATTGCCAGTAGACTGCTTTGACTACTGAGCTACATGCACACCGAGATTCTCCGAGTTCATTGATATATGTATATAGTAGCGAATGATAAATTCCTTTCCTATAAATGTATTTAATTTTTTCTTAACTCAGAAACTAAATTTTTTAAATCATTTTTTTGACCATTTTTCATTTCGATTTTTAATATGTAGACAGTAGTAATTGTTTTGATTTCTTCAGGTCGAAATATAGAGGCGAACATCACAACTTCCGAAAGCGATTCGGACTCTTCAATTCAGTCGAGACAGAGCACGAAAACAGTCGATTTTGCAAATACTCTGAAAAAGTCAAATATTTCAAATGTGGTAAATACCAAAGGTACGCAAAAAAAATTGAAACAGTAGATGAATATATGCCAATCAATCCAATATATCAATATCAATCCAATCCACCTGACTTGGATTGATTGATATATTTTCATCTACTGTTTTATATTTTAGACTAAGACAATAATTATTCTCAATTAATCTATTTCACTTTAATTTTTTCAATTAACCCCTACTCAGTCTAGTTAAAAATTGCTCATAGGCCTAAAACGGTCCGAAAATTTTCTAAAAAAGTGTGATCTCATCATGTATATAAGTTTTTTTGGTCGCTGTATTCAAATTTAAGGTTTGCTTTCCATAATTTGGAATGGCAGATAATTTTAAAATTGATGCGTTTCAACCAAAATTCATTTCTCAGGAGTTTTCGAGGTCGCTGATTACCAATCTAATGACAGATTTCCAAAATTCAAAATGGTGGATCCAATATGGTGACCAAATTTTTTAATAGTTGGCGGATATGTTTAAAAATATTTACTCGGGAGTTTTTAAAGTTATGAAATTCGAATTTAATGTGAAATTGTAAGTTGTAATTCTCTTTTTATTTTTTTAATTACAGAACCGTACGCTACACTTCTAATTAGTCATAAACACTGCCATCCATAATTAAATGGACATTGTCATTTAAAAGGGTGTTCATTGCACACCCCTTTTACATTATAGTGTGAAAAGAATTAAACGTAGGAAAACAATAAAAATTATCTCTATTTTTTCCCTAAAATCAGCCCAGATAGCCAAGCGTACTAATGGTCCAAAATATCGATAAATAAATTTAAATCTACATTAAATAATTATTAGAATGTGTTCAAGAAGGTTAAAAAATGTTAATCAGCTTCGGAGAAATTAAGAAAATCATGCAAAATCAGATATACAGAACAAAAAATTTGACTTAATCTCTTCTATTTTGTGTCATATTTTTATAATTTCACCAGCTGTTAGGAAAAAATAGAGATATTTTACTCTTTTTGTTTTGATCGTTTAAAGCTTTTTACATAATTTTTAATTGTTTTAGTCCATTTTGGGTCCGACATTTTATATTTTTTAAAATCTGATTTCATATTCGGATTCAGCTATCCCAAAAACTTTAGTATACCCGTCGATACTGAAATCAAAGTATATTTAGTAATTTTTTTAAATGGCCATATGTGGCCACTGACACAAAGGTTATACGACTTTGTCTTGTCATATATGGGTCAGGGACTGTCAAGGGGTTGAAGTGCTTTAATAGAGATTTAATAGTCTTAAAAATTTATTTTTTTGATCGTCTCTTCATTTTGATTTTTAATATGTGGATCAGCAGTAACAGTTTTGATTTCTTCAGGTCGAGATACAGGGGCGAGCATTAAAACTTCCGAATGCAATTCGGACTCTTCAATTAAGTTGAAGCAGAGCACGAAAATGGTTGATGTTCCAAATACTCTGAAAAAGTCAAAGACTTCGAATGTGGTAAATACCAAAGGTACGCAATTTAACTACATATATTAGATTAATTCATTACACTGCAGATACTTAGAATGCGATCACCTTTTTGATGGGGTTGTCCATATATTGCATCACTAACAACCTGCAGAAAAAGTGTTACTAATACAGTCGAACCTGGATAAGCGAGAGTTCGAGGGACCGGCAATTTTCTCTCGCTCATAGAGGTTTCTCGCTTATCCAGTTTCTCACCTACAGAAGCCTGTATATGTATCAGAGCATATTATAAATTATAAACTCGGCAAAAATATTTTAGAGTTTCCCATTAATTGAATTGTTTGATATTTGTTATTTTGGGGTTTTTGGAGTCGCTGATTATGAATGCGTACTCAGATTTTCAAAATTTGAAGTTTGGGTACGCTGATTACGGATTTGGAGTCAAATTTTTAAAGTTTTAACTAGCGAATCCAACATTGCCGTGGATTTGATTGGTGTGATGTAAAAGTTAAGGGGCACACCTAGTGTGAGTGACTGAAAAAAACGGTGATTTTTAGGAATTTTTTTCAGGGAAATTATTGCATCTAATTTTTTTTAAAGTTTTGTACATGTATATTTGTATAAATAGTGAACATTTTGTAATTTTTTTAAAGAAAAATATCTTTTTTTAAAAAAGTTATTCGCTATCTCCTGAGTGTCCGAAAAAAAGTTCTCCCACTGCTGCAGTGATTGCGGCCTTCTCAGTGACCTAAATCAAAAAAACCAAAAAGATTATTAAACTAGAAGATATTTGCCGTACAATGACCCTCGGATGTCAAAAAATATTGAATTGCAACAAAATGGCGGAGTTTTGAAAAAAGCTTTTAAATTTTGCCAAAAAAATCCGATGGTTTTTGGCATCCCAAAATTTTATTTTTCATCCAATCAAAAAACTGGAGCCTCATTGTACGGCAAATATCTTCTAGTTTAATAATCTTTTTCGTTTTTTTGATTTCAGTCACTCAGAAGGCCGCAATAACTGCAGCAGTGGGAAAACTGTTTTTTTTATATAGCGAATAACTCTTTAAAAAAAGGTATTTTTCTTTGAAAAAATTACAAAATGTTCACTATTTATACAAATATACATGTACAAAACTTTTAAAAAAATTAGATGCAATAATTTCCTTGAAAAAAATTCCTAAAAATCGACGTTTTTTTCAGTCACTCACACTAGGTGTGCCGCTTAAGTTATTTTATTCAACAGATTACAAATATATTTTCTAGTTTTAGTATAGGCTAGAAATACAATCTAACATTTAGCCCAGTCTCCCCTATATTTATTATATTAAAAATCGCATATCAGACTCTGCAATTTAAATTATTTATGAGTCAAATTTGTAGCTGTTGAGATCCTTTTACTGATGATATAAATTATAAATTATTATTATTATTATTATAATTATTATTATAATTCATATAAATTATTTTTTTTAATGAGTTATGAACAAAAAAGCTTAGGTATGGCAATCTGCAAGCCTTTCCCCTGCAAAAAGAATTTACTCTTATTATTTAAGTTCCCACGAAATTAGTATACAGAAAGTTTAATTTAATTTATATCAAATTTTAGATATTGGTGTCAAAAAGAAAAAAACCAGATGGACACAGAGTGAAATTGATACAGTATTAAATGCCTTTCACAGAAATATTGAGGAACAAAGCCTACCATCCGCATCACAAATATCGAAAATAAAGGAGGAGAATGCGTGCCTCTGTAACAGGACCACTGCAACTATTAAATCTTGGATTCACCATTACATAAAAACAAACAAAACTAGTCACTGAAAGAATCATTTTTATACAAAGACTAATCTTTTCATTTGTGTCTGGCCGGTAGTACACATCACATAATTTTATTTGCATTCTTATTTTAACTTTTAAAATTATCGATATAAAACATAAATAAGTTATTTCAGTCTTGGCTCACGAAATTATAATCTAAAATTTTGTTCACGAGTCATTCTTATTGTCCAGAAAATGTCAAAGACATGAGCCATTAGGCACACTCTCACTTTATTTCTGAAGTTAAGTTCACAAAAAATATTTTTTGATTATGAAAATATATATACATAGACTTGATGATACGAGTTTATGGTTCTACGGTTGTTATTTGAAGTATTTGGTGCAGAATAGTATAAATTAATATTAAGATTTTTTAGCAATCATTTTGCTCAACAAAGGTCAGTTGTTCATATTTATAAGCCTTGAAAAATCATTAAAAATGTGAGGCAATGTTCCTGAACAAATTTTTAGTATGCTGTCCAATGCGCCAACTACCTCAATTTAAAAATTTTTATTGTTCTTTTATACTATTTATAAGTCAATTATAATCAGCCTTATGTTCTAAGTAGAGTATTTATATGTATTTATAACTTACAAACTACTTATAAATGTATAACTTAAAGCATATACTTTGATGTACTAGCCTATGTCCTAAATTATTTCCTGTCTTTGCATCCAAATTTATATATTCCATAATGTGTCCAATAATTTTCTGATAGCTGTTACGGCCAATCAATCTTTATTAACCAAGTATATAGTCTCATAGAAATTGGTTCATAATTTCGTTCGGATTAATGATAGACTAACGCGGATCATTTTCCGACATTTTTGTACAATTATTTATGGAACTAATCCATACTAATATGTCAGGATTTAATCAGGATTAGTCCGAAATTTTTACCAGGGATGTAATATGATTCGGGTGGCCGACTATTACTGGATTCTTAAGTTGCATAGAACAACTCTGGTGGTTTGATCAAGCAATCGGCTGAATAAATTTTCACGGTCGGATCACTTAATCTGATTGGCTGAACTAAAGATTCCATTTTCACTATTTCAAATTTTCAGAAACAGCAAAAATGTAATTTGCTCTTCAACTAATCAAATTGAGTGACCTGTCTGTGAAAATTAATCTTGACGATTACTTGAATAAAACACCGAAGGTATAGAAGCACCTTTAGCATACATGTATTTCGGATTGTTTCGTATTTGTTTCGGAATATGATTTTACCACACTAATTCCGAATTGAACCGGATTAATGTCGGATTCTTCGCGTACAGATTTTGGATTATTTTGTATTTGTTTCGGATTATGCCTTTTTATTGGATTAAATCCAGATTGTTGCAGACAATTTCCGGATTCTTAGCATACAGATTTCGGATTTTTCGGTTTTTATCTTTCAATTAGATTAAGGGGGTATAAGGTTTTAACGGTGAAAAAAGCATGCTTTTAAGATTTTCTTTAACGTTATAGTCCGGGAGCTAGCGACCAAAACAACTATCTCATTTCCTACCGTCTGAAAATTTGAGTATAGATTACTGAAGACATGTAAATAACAAAAACCCACGTCTGGCAGGCCGGCGCTGGGGTAGGGGCGAATAGGTGAAAAATAATGTAAAATTTTCTCATTTCATACCGCTTAAAACCTTCAAAACTCGAAAGTTTACACCCACACGAGTATAAAAATGTGCGTCTGGCAGTTCTGGGGTGGGGCAAAGTACGTCTGGCAAAGGGTTAAAAACGCAAAAAAAACGAAAAATTTTTCTGATTTCATACCGATTAAAACCATCATAACTCGAAAGTTTACATCTATACGAGTGTAAAAATGTACGTCTGGCAGTTCCGGGGTGGGGCAAAGTTCGTCTGGCGAAGGGTTAAACACGTAAAAAATCGAAATTTTTTTTCTCATTTCATACCGATTAAAAGCTTTAGAAATCGAAAGTTTATATACAAACAACTGTGAAAATACCCATCTGGCAGCCCTTCGAAGATGCGGCAAATGGGTCAATAGGTAACAAATAACTTACATTTTTCTTATTTCATACCGATTAAAACCTTTATAAAACGAAAGTTTACATCTACGCAAGTGTAAAAATGAACGTCTGGCAGTTCTGGGGTGGGGCAAAGTACGTCTGGCGGCCTTTTGAAGATGTAGATTTTTACATTTGTTTAAATGTAAACTTTCAATATATGATGGTTTTAATCGGTATGAAATGAGAAAAAAATTTCGATTTTTTACGTGTTTAACCCTTTGCCAGACGAACTTTGCCCCACCCCGGAACTGCCAGACGTACATTTTTACACTCGTATAGATGTAAACTTTCGAGTTATAATGGTTTTAATCGGTATGAAATGAGAAATATTTAAATTATTTTTCACCTATTGACCCATTTTTCGCATTTTCGAAGGGCTGCCAGACATACTTTGCCCCACCCCAGAACTGCCAGACGCACATTTCTACACTCGTGTAGATGTAAACTTTCGAATTATAAAGGTTTTAATCGGTATGAAATGAGAAAATTTACTTTTTTTTCACCGCTTGACCGATTTGTCGCATCTTCGAAGGGCTGCCAGACGTACTTCGCCCCACTCCAGAATTGCCAGCCGTGTATTTTTACACTTGTTTGAATGTAAACTTTTGATTTCTAAAGGTTTTAATCGTTATGAAATCAGAAAAAATTTTCGATTTTTTTACGTGTTTAACCCTTTGCCAGACGTACTTTGCCCCACCCCAGAACTGCCAGACGTGTATTTTTACACTTGTTTGAATGTAAACTTTTGATTTCTAAAGGTTTTAATCGTTATGAAATCAGAAAAAATTTTCGATTTTTTTACGTGATTAACCCTTTGCCAGACGTACTTTGCCCCACCCCAGAACTGCCAGATGCACATTTTTACACTCGTGTAGGTGTAAACTTTTGAATTATAAAGGTTTTAATCGGTATGAAATGAGAAAATTTACTTTTTTTTCACCGCTTGACCGATTTGTCGCATCTTCGAAGGGCTGCCAGACGTACTTCGCCCCACTCCAGAATTGCCAGCCGTGTATTTTTACACTTGTTTGAATGTAAACTTTTGATTTCTAAAGGTTTTAATCGTTATGAAATCAGAAAAAATTTTCGATTTTTTTACGTGTTTAACCCTTTGCCAGACGTACTTTGCCCCACCCCAGAACTGCCAGACGCACATTTTTACACTCGTGTAGATGTAAACTTTCGAATTATGAAGGTTTTAATCGGTATGAAATGAGAAAATTTACTTTTTTTTCACCTATTGACCCATTTTTCGCATTTTCGAAGGGCTGCCAGACGTACTTTGCCCCACCCCAGAACTGCCAGACGCACATTTTTACACTCGTGTAGATGTAAACTTTCGAATTATAAAGGTTTTAATCGGTATGAAATGAGAAAATTTACTTTTTTTTCACCGCTTGACCGATTTGTCGCATCTTCGAAGGGCTGCCAGACGTACTTCGCCCCACTCCAGAATTGCCAGCCGTGTATTTTTACACTTGTTTGAATGTAAACTTTTGATTTCTAAAGGTTTTAATCGTTATGAAATCAGAAAAAATTTTCGATTTTTTTACGTGTTTAACCCTTTGCCAGACGTACTTTGCCCCACCCCAGAACTGCCAGACGCACATTTTTACACTCGTGTAGATGTAAACTTTCGAATTATGAAGGTTTTAATCGGTATGAAATGAGAAAATTTACTTTTTTTTCACCGCTTGACCGATTTGTCGCATCTTCGAAGGGCTGCCAGACGTACTTCGCCCCACCCCAGAACTGCCAGACGTGTATTTTTACACTTGTTTGAATGTAAACTTTTGATTTCTAAAGGTTTTAATCGTTATGAAATCAGAAAAAATTTTCGATTTTTTTACGTGATTAACCCTTTGCCAGACGTACTTTGCCCCACCCCAGAACTGCCAGATGCACATTTTTACACTCGTGTAGGTGTAAACTTTTGAATTATAAAGGTTTTAATCGGTATGAAATGAGAAAATTTACTTTTTTTTCACCGCTTGACCGATTTGTCGCATCTTCGAAGGGCTGCCAGACGTGTATTTTTACACTTGTTTGAATGTAAACTTTTGATTTCTAAAGGTTTTAATCGTTATGAAATAAGAAAAATTTTTCGATTTTTTTACGTGTTTAACCCTTTGCCAGACGTACTTTGCCCCACCCCAGAACTGCCAGATGCACATTTTTACACTCGTGTAGGTGTAAACTTTCGAGTTATGAAGGTTTTAATCGGTATGAAATGAGAAAATTTTACATTATTTTTCACCTATTCGCCCCCCTGCCCCAGCGCTGGCCTGCCAGACGTGGGTTTCTGTTATTTACATGTCTTTAGTAATCTATACTCAAATTTTCAGCCGGTATGAAATGAGATAGTTGTTTTGGTCGCTAGCTCCCGGACTGTTACGCAAAAAGTTAATTTATTTTATCGCTTTGCGTATAATATTGTAACATTTGCACAATATTTCTCTAAATTTTAATTAAAAAATATTAATTTTTAAGCAAGATAATGAAATTTTCCTCAGACGACCTAAAAAAATTGATTTGGGGTGTACGCTCTAACTCGCAACTGAATCATCCAAATCAAAAAAATCAAAGTGCTTCTGTCAAGGGAGATGTTTTTGAGGTACCGCTGTGAGCGTTTTTTAAACTACAAATTTTACAATAACAAGTTAATCGATTTTTTAAAGCGAAAGTCGAGTTTTTGGCTTTTAACTGCTACAAAAAATTGAAAAATAAAAAAAATTCCTTTCAGCGTTACTTCAAAAAACATCTCCTTTAATAAATGCACTTTGATTTTTTTGTCTTAGATGATTCTATTGCGAGTTAGAATGTACACCACAAATTAATTTTTTTAAGGCGCCTGAGGAAAATCTCATTATCTCGCTCAGTTTTTAATATTTTTCAATTAAAATTTAGAGAAATATTGTTTAAATGTAGCAATATTATATACAAAGCTATAAAATAAATTAACTTTCTGCGTATCGACAAAAAAAATTCTTAAAAACATGCTTTTTTTCACCGTTTGGACCTTACCCCCCTTAAATCCCAATTGTGCAGATAATTTACAGATTCGTTGCATACAGCTTTCGGATTGTTTCAGAATAAGATTTTGACACACTTAGTTTCAAATTGTTGCGGACTAATA